TAAAAATCCCATGTAACATAGTTTGCTAATAAGTGACAGACAAGATCTGAACCCAGATACTCTGGCTCCAGATTGACCACGTCTAATAACAGACTTTAGAACATTTAATATCACATTTTCGATAATCCCAAGCACATTTTTCAAATTTTATTATCTCTGAAAAAGAATATACCTTAAAATGGATGGCATATTATAATCATAATTGTATTTTTTTCTTAGAAAAATCAGTTTCTTAGAATCAACAGTGGGTTGTTTTCAACATAAGAGACTGGGTGTGGTTGCCACACCTATAATCCCTACATTTTAGGAGGCTGAGGCAGGATGATTTGAGGCTAGAAGTTCGAGACCAGCCTGGGCAACATAGTGAGGTCTCATCTCCACAAAAAATAAAAGATTAAAAAAAATTAGTTGGACGTGGTGTTGCACGCCTGTAGTTCCAGCTACTTGGGAGGCTGAGGCAGAAGTATCGCCTGAGCCGAGGAGGCTGAGGCTGCAGTGAGACATGATCATGCACTGCATTCCAGCCTGGGTGACAAGAGTGAGATCCCAACTCAAAAACAACCTCAAAACAAAATACACATATGTACACACCAGGTCTATTATGTTAGATCTTTACAAGCTGTGTAGTATATTCAAGGATCCTGAAAGAAGACTGAAAATTCCACAATCATAGGAGATGAAAGTGGTGTCCAAACTAGCTGAACAGTGTGCTGCAATGTACTGAGGTTTATCTATGCCTAAGTATGTGGATTTATGGATTCTATACAGTTTTAATTTAACTAACCCTCAAAAATTGGTACCTGACAAATGATATCTACAGAAACTATTCATTGAAGCTGCAAGTACTAATGCAAAGGACCAAGAGAACAACATGAAAATAACAGCTCTGAGTCATCTTAAAAAACAAACAACCCCCCATGATGGTTTGATCTGTTCTGACAATAATTTAATAAAAAATAGAAATGCTAAGACTATTTGAAATAGTACTACATTAACCTTATTTTAAGTGTATATTAAGTCTCGAGAATTATCTAATGATAGTAGCCTATATGTATTATCGAATGATAGTAGCCTCTAAATCATAAACATATGTATCTTAAGTGTGTTTTGAATATTTTTTCTTAAAAAAAAAAAATCCCAGCCGGACGTGGTGGCTCAAGTCTATAATCTCAGCACTTTGGGAGGCTGAGGCGAGAGAACTGCCTGAGCCCGTGGGTTCAAGACCAGCCTGGGCAACATGGTGAGACCCCGTCTCTACAAGAAATTAGTTGGGCGTGGTAGTGCATGTCTGTAATTCCAGCTACTGGAAAGCTAAGGCAGAAGGATAGCCTGAGCCCAGCAGGTGGAGGCTGTGGTGGCCAGCAGCATGACACTGCACTCCAACCTGGGCGACAGAGTGAGACTCTAACTCAAAAAAACAAAAACAAAAAATCCAGTCAGGCATGGTACCACACCTGCAATCCCAGAGTTTTGGGGCTGAGGCAGGAGGATTGTTTGAGGCCAGGAGTTCCAGACCAGTCTGGGAAACATAGCAAGATTCCACCTCTACAGAAAATATTAGCTGGGTTTGGTGACTGTAGTCCCATGTGTTTGGGAGACTGAGGTGGGAAGATTACTTGACCCCAGTTCGAGGCTGCAGTGTGCTATGACTGCGCCACTGTACTCTAGAATGGGTGACAGACCAAGATGCTAAGACACTGTTGCTCAAAGAAAAAAAATATATATTCCTTGTTACTATTTCTTTATGCAAAATAATATCCTCTCACAACTGGGTAGAGGGGTAGTGTTGAAACCACCACTGCACTTTACCTGATAAAAGCACCAATAAGACCATTATTCTCAGATTCTTTATTTGAAATTCACCTACTTGCTAAAATTTGTAATCCCAAAACCAACATTCAAAGTGCTTTAGCAGTTGCTCACAGACTTAGATGAGGCAGGAAAAAAATGTGAGTTGCCCACTGCATACATTTCAAGCTGAGATCAAATCAGGCGGTCTCTGTCTACTTGTTTTCAACCTCATACTGTCAACATGTGTCCTTTCTGTGGTCTATTTAGTACCATGTTTCTTGTATTTTTGTTGGTGAACTTGGTGTGCAAAATGGTTCCAAAATGTAAGCGTGTCTAGTGTTGAATTGGTATATGTGAAATCCAAGGATACTGCAGGCCAACTGTATACTTTTATTGTTTCTGTTCAAAGAGGTTCTCATAAAGTTATTGTTCGCAGGACTGTAACATAAATAATAATGTATATTAGCTATGGTTTGAATGTATGTCATGTTGAAACATTATCTCCGATGTAGCAGTGTTGAGAAGCAGGCATTTAAGAAGTGACTGGGAAGGCTCTGCTCTCATGAATGGATATCACTGGAGTGGAACTGGGGGCTTTATAAGAAGATTAAGAGATACCTGAGCTAGCATGCTCAACCCCCTTGTCATGTGATGCCCTGCGCCATACAGAGAATCCCCACCAACAAAAAGGCTCTAACTAGATGCACCTCTTCAACCTTGGACTTTCCAGCCTCCAGAACCATAAGAGATAAATTTTGTTTCTTATAAATTATCCAGTTTGAGGCATTTTGCTATAAGCAACAGAAAATGGTCTATAACAATACTGTATTACCAAAAGAATTAGTTTCTTTGCTTTACAGTCACATAACGATGAGATGGTCCATCCCTTTTACCACTTGTAACCAAGCATCATGAACTTGAATGAATTAGAGCTTGGCAGCTCCCTTTGAAGACAGGACTATAACCCTCTAACTAGACAAGTCAGTCACCCTCCTTGCAAAACCCCCTTTTAAGTGAATCTACCCTGCCAGCAGCTCTTCTGGAAGAAGCAGCACTACTGTAGTTGAGTCATTCTAGTACAGCTTTTGGGGCAGAAAGACCCGAGTGTAAACCTCAGCTAAATTACAGAGGGAGCGGGAGGGAGAATGAGTGGGAGAGGGAAAAGGAGGGGGGGAGACAGAGGTCAATCCACAGAGTGGGGCCATAGGAAATTCAAGGAGATCAAAGTTAAGATAAACAGAAATTAAGGAAGCAGTGAAAAAGAATAAGCCACTTGGTAGCTGGATAAAAAGAAGCACATACTGGCAAAGAGCTAAATAACAAATACCAGCAAAGGCCATATTCCTACTGCTGAAAATCTTGCCTTCTGCAGTTATCTTATGTATCTTTTAACTATCTTGGTCGTCCTGCATTAGTTATGCTCTGGTGAGATTCTGTTTTCTTAATTCCATGACCCACAACCATCACACCCCCTCAACCCATTTAAAGCAGGCTGGGGAAATTCTGTGTGAGGAAATGTAAAATTCAAGCATCCTAGCTGGGCTCGGTGGCTCAGCCTGTAATAATTCCATGCCTTTGGGAGGCTGAGGTGAGTGGATTGCCTGAGCCCGCGGGTTCGAGACCCACCCGGGCAGGCGAGACCTCATCTCTACAATAAATAAAAAAATTAGACGGGTGTGGTAGCGTGTGCCTGTAATTCCAGCTACTCAGAAGGCTGAGGCAGAAGGATTGCCAGAGCCCAGCAGGTCGAGGCTGCGGTGGCCGGGAGCGGCCACTGCACTCCAGTCTAGGCGACAGAGTGAGACTCCAACTCAAAAAAAAAAAATAAAAAAAATTCAAGCATCCAAGAGCGTGGGAGTTGCTCGACAAACTAAAGCCCTTTCCAACCCCAAAAGGCCAAGTAGAATCTAAGTTGTGATTCTACTCCAGTATTTTCTTCGAGGTAACACAAGTCCCCATAAATCTACCACACCAAAGAGTAGTTCCTTTTATGGCCCTAAATTTGATCATCTACACAGGAATGCTTTAGTTCCAATATTCTAAGACTGCACGAACATCCTCATTTCAGCTTCATGACTATAAATTTCAGTAACTTGCCGGGCTCAGTGGCTCAGCCTGTAATCCCACTCTTTCAGAGGCTGAGGGGAGTGGATTGCATGAACCTGCGGGTTCGAGACCTGCCTGGGCAACTTGGCGAGACCTCATCTCTACAATAAATCAAAAAATTAGCCGGGCGTGGGAGCGCGCCTGTAGTTCCAGCTACTTGGAAGGCTGAGGCGGAAGGATCGTCGGAGCCCAGCAGGTCGAGGCTGCGGTGGCCGGGAGCGACCACTGCACTCCAGCCTGGGTGACAGAGTGAGACTCCAACTCAAAAAAAAAAAAAACTTCAGTAACTTTGCAACATTTTTTTCATTGAACACTGCACCTTGGATATCTTTATGCATATACGCCTACCTCGTTCTTTTCTTAAAGGTTTGTATATTGTTCCATTATACAAATGTACCATAATTAATATTTCACCATGTCTCACTAATGGACTTTGGGTTGTTTCCAATCATTTATTATTACACACAATGCTTCAGGTCAACATTCTTTTTTACATGAGCACCTGCAGAGTATGCAAGAGCAACTACAATATCACGGGGTCAAATTAAGTTGCTCCCCTGAAAGGTTCTGAGCTTAGCTATGTGTTTCAACAGGAACAAAAACTAGAAGGCACCCACAACTCTAGGTGCAGATGCAAAAACTGAGTGTGGCACGATGCTATGGGGAAATGGTCTCTTTTGAGGGACCTCTTTTAGCCTGAGACTAAATCTTCAAGGGTTCCCAAGGCAAGAAAATACACTTTAATTACCGGAGAATTTTCAACGTCTCCGAGATGAGGTTAATAACAGAAACTTAGAGTCGAAGCTCTGAAGCTTCAATGTGATTCTCCAATGTCCTCGATTACAGAAAGCTCAAAGATCATTTAAGATATATTATATATGCTCATGTAGTTTAAAAAAAAAAAAAAAGGGAGACGGAAAGGCGACAGACGTCATCGCTCCTGCCTTCTTTAAATCACCCCACCCGTGGCAGCCGGGGAGGGAGGAGAAGACCGGGCGCCGCCGCCCCGCAGCCGTCCGCGCTGGGTCCGGGCGGTAACGGCGGCGGCGCGCGAGGCCGCGGGGCCGGGAGGAGGGGCTCCCCGGGTCGGCCCCTGCTCTCACCTCAGCTCTTCGTCGACGTTCCCGCCGGGCTGCTCGGCCGACGCCACCGCAG